CTTTCCCTAGCTGTATTACTCAAGCCTACTTCTACTTCCTGACAGGCTCTACTGAGTTCTTTCTCCTTGCTGTCATGTCTTTTGACCGCTATGTGGCCATATGCAACCCACTGCGGTATGCTGTAATCATGAGTACTCATGTCTGCTTCCAGCTAGTGGCTGCCTCATGGACCTGGGGGTTTCTGGCTTTGATCACACCCACCATCCTAGTAAGCCAGCTATCATACTGTGGCCCCAATGTCATCAATCATTTCTTCTGTGATGTGGCACCATTGCTCAAGCTCTCATGTTCTGACACATACATCATTGAGGTGGTAGAATTTGCCATATCAGCCTTGCTCCTTCTAGGTTCACTGCTGGTGACAGTGGTGTCCTACACCGTCATCATTGCAACAATCCTCAGAATCCCATCTGCCGCTGACCACCAGAAGGCTTTTTCCACCTGTGCTTCACACATCATTGTGGTAACACTTTTCTATGGAAGCTCTATCTTCATCTATGTTAGACCCAATAAAAGCCAGTCTTTGGACCTTGACAGAGCAGCCAGTATCCTGAATACAGTGGTGACTCCATTGTTGAACCCTTTCATCTATAGCCTCCGGAACAAGCAAGTCAAAGAGGCTCTGAGAGATGTCCTCAGGAAGAAAATATATTATTTTCACGAATCCTGGGCTACTTGACTAAGCTTCTAACAGAGGAAAATGTTAAAAGAAAATGGTAAAATCTTCAAAAGTGCTTAAGTGACTCAGGAGTCAAAGTTCCATTGTGAAAAGTGACTTAGGCACTTCAAAGTCTTAGTCTTTTCTGAAGTCAATGAGACCTAAATTTCTAACACTGCATTAACACTGAACCTACTATTTCATAAATAAAAGCCTTTATCTTCCTGTTTGACAGATAAAATTTGACTAGTTCTGACACTGAGAATTTTCATTCCCTCAGAGTTGATAGAGAAGATGTGTCATTTCTTTCTGAGCTGAATCCATATGTTTATGATATCCTTCACAGTTTGTAATTGGTATTTTGATAATATTGAGAAATTTGCAAGAATTATTTAAACCCAATTTTCAAATGGCATTTTTATTCTGTTTCCTGGAAGGACTTAGGGTTTACACATAAAACTGTTCAATGTTGCCTGGAGTTTTCAAAGAAATGTAAGGAATGTATGCACTAAATAAGCATTTAGAACCAATACCAGGTTTAACATTGCCATAATTCATGTTTTTTGTGCAACTCTCAGTACTCAGTAAGATATATGTTTTCCCTGTACAGTTCATTTTTCTTCAGAAAAGAAAAAAAGAGCCCTTTTTGTATAAAAGGTTTTTTATTACTATTATTTGAGAAAAATAAATGATAATTTTCACTGAGAACCATTTCTATATTTAAAAAAATATTAACTGGATTTAACTGTTTCCATTCATTGAAGTCCTTTGAAAATCCCAGTCAAAGTGACTGAAGTGACTAGGAAACTGGGATATACAGAGATTGGATAGTTTGTTTACACTCGTGCCTCCACCAGTGGAAGATCTGGGAACAGAATCTGGAACCTGGACTGGCGTAAGCATTTTAAATAATTTAGCTCTGACATAGGGAGAATTTTTGGTGCTGGTCTTATGGAGTAAAGGGAGCCTTGTGCTGCTACCCCAAGTCTCTGAGAGAGGTCATGGCATTAGCTGAGGGCCCAGTGCAGGGCAACACTAAAGTGGGACATCATAAAATTAAAACAGCCAACTTTCAGGAACCAAAATCTGGGACCGTCTCACCAGTGCTCCACATTGCTCTGGAACCAGTGCAACTGCCTGATTGTGGCACCAGGCTGAGTCTGGCTTATCCTCTTAGAAGATCCAGCA